TGTATCATCAATTTCAGCAAAAACAAAGTAACCTTTATTTACTTCTTTTTTAACTTCGGGGGTGTGTCACGTGACAAGATAAATCCGTTATTTGGCTTGAAATTTTCAATTCAAAATGGGGAATAAAATGTCTTCTTCGATTTACATGTTTGATATACCGTTTTGTTGCTTTTTATGAGATTTTTGTTTTAAGAGCTATTTGATGAAACAGGTCACGTGACCTAATTTGCATATCAGTTTTCCAGGTACATCTTCATTCACAATAGTGAAGGATCGGATTAAAAGAGTGTGCTTATATAATTAACCTGTACATGTAATATCAATGTAAGTCTTAGCTCTATTTATAAACGTTCTATGTTCCCCATTTTCTCAAAACGTTTTTGGGGCCTTAAAAGACACGTGAAAAAAATTAACATTCCAAACTGCTCACAATCTCAATTCACATCTCCCATAATAGTTTCACTTCAAGAAAACCCTTTGTGTTATAAGATTATAACACGATCAAATACGTATACAGGCTCGTTTCAATGCTGAGCCAGGCCTTAACACGCCTCATGTTGATGCAAATCGATTGTGATTATGTACAAACGAAACATAAAGCAAGGAGTCAAAAAAAAAAAAAAAAAAAAAAAAAAAAAAAAAAAAAAAAAAAAAAAAAAAAAAAAAAAAACAAAAAACAAAAAACAAAACACGTAAAAGCACAAAAAAATACACATATCTGCACTTGTGTTGCCAGGTTTTCAGATTTGTTTAAATATTCGAAATGCAGAATACTACCAGAATATATTATGTTTATTAAAATTAATAACAATAATAAAAAAAAAATCTAAAAAAGCCAAAACAATTTTGTGCTATTTATGATAATCGGAAAATTTATAAGTTATTTTTCTAATTAAAAGCGAACGAATTAAATAAAAGAAAAGGAAAAAAAAATCGCTCATGTAGTACAAGCACTGCACAATAATTATCTGAGAGGTAGGTTGATAAATGAGTGAATGGATAATATTATGAAAGTATTCGTTTCCGTAATACTCTCGAGTAAAACAATGCATGTTCATTCTTGACAGGAGGAATCTATGCCTTGCTCAAATTGGAAGCATTTCCTAAACACGTTTCATGCCGCGGAACGCCAGTTA